TGTGTAAAATCAGAAGTGTCCTCTTTGATGCCCTCCCAGTCAATAGCAGCTAGTTTCCAGACTGTTTGAGATTTAGGACAATGGAACAAAAGATGTTCAACAGTCTCTGGCTCAGCACCACATATTTTGCACACAGGGTCAATATCTTTAATTCTCTTGTGGAGATTTAGGTTGACAGGGAGAGTGTGTGTGAAACATCTCCACAAGAAATGTTTGAGTTTCCCTGTGATTTTCAATGACCACATCCTCTTTCTGGCTGATTGCATCCCCTTTGAGATCAAACTGCATTCTGGAACATCCAGCTTATTCCATTTTTCCTCTACTAGCACTCTCTAAACTTCAGCAACTGATAGATCTCCAGATTTGCAGTGGGCCCAAGTGAGTCTGTCTTCTAGCAGAGGGTCCATACCTTGGATACTAAGGATGGCAGCACTTTCATTTGGGGGGAAGCATTGATGGATCAAGTCAACATTCCATTTACTGCCTGAGTCATCTAAAAGTTCATGCACCTTTGATATGCTGTGCTTCCATGGATTGCAACTGTTAGGCTTGTGTGTGGGTAAAGAAGGGATCCAAGGATGGTCCCAGATTAGAATATCAGAGCCTTTGTTCACCTTGTAGAAGACATTATCTTTGAAGAATGCCAAGGTTTTCCTCCAACTTGCCCAGAGCCATGAGGAATTAGATTGAGCTTTAGCAAGAAGAATGTTTGAATTGGGAAAGTATTTAGCCTTGATGACCTTGCTTACAAGTAGCTCAGGTTGAGAGTGAATCCTTCAGAGTTGTTTGGAACTCAATGCTTTATTCATGAGATGGATGTCATGGAATCCCAGTCCACCTTTGCACTTGGGCAGTGTGATGTGTTTCCATGATTTCCAGTGAATGCCCTGGGATCCTTGTTCTTGCTTTGCCACCAGAAATCAGCAAAACTCTTGGCCAGTTTTTCACAGGTAGCTTTTGGTAACATGAAGCATGACATTGCATAAATAGGAAGGGCTTCCAGGACAGCCTTCAAGAGGATTTCCTTACCTGCAAGAGAGAGGAATGTGTTTTGCCATTTTGATAATCTGCCTTGGACTGCTTGGTTAATATAGGAGAAGGTGTCAAGTTTTGATTTGCCTGTCCCAAGGGGAAGGCCAAGATATTTGGATGAGCTTTGAGGCTGGATTCCCATAAGGATATGGCAAATATTGTCTCGGAGGGACTGAGGTGTGTTTTTGCTAAATAGGACTGAGGATTTTTGTAAGTTGACACATTGCCCTGTGATGGCATTGTATTGGTTCAGAATTTTGAGGATGAGTTGTGCTTGGGAGGGGTCAGCTTTGGAAAGGATGAGGGTATCATCTGCAAACATAAGGTGGGTAAGGGTGGGGCTGTTTCTGCAGATTTTAATTCCTTTGTATTCCCCTGATTCAACAAAGCTGTTAATAATTAAGGAGAGGATCTGAGATACCAACAAGAAAATGTAGGGAGACAAGGGGTCTCCCTGCCTGATTCCTCTGGAGAGAATGACATAACCACACATAGAACCATTGACATTAAAAGAGAAGGAGGCAGAGTTAAGGCAAGCCATAATCCACTTAACAAAAGAGTCATGAAAGCCAATCTTAAGCATGATGTTCCTAACACAAGACCATTCAACCCTGTCAAAAGCTTTAGACATATCCAATTTTATCATCATGTAACAAGAGCTTCCTGATCTATGGTTTTTAAGAAAGTGAGTGACTTCATGGGCAAGGATTACATTGTCAAGGATATTCCTCTTAGAAATGAATGCAGACTGAGAATCATTGATACAGAGAGGAAGAATAGGCTTTAATCTGGATGCCAAAATTCTGGAAATAACCTTATAGGTAACACTACATAGACTGATTGGTCTATATTGTGATATCCTATCAGGTTTCTGCACTTTAGGGATTAAGGAAATGAGAGTGTGATTGATACTTTTAAGCATTTTACCAGATTGGAAGAAGCTATACACAAGAGCACAAAGGTCATACTTAATGATTTCCCAAAAGTGTTGAAAGAACAGAGAGGTCATACCATATTGCCCAGGGGCTTTCTGAGGGGAGATAGAGAAGAGAGCAGCTCTAATGTCTTCTTCATCAACATTGGCAGTGAGTTCAGTGTTCATAGCTTCAGTAATGACAGGAGATACTTCATCCAGCACAGGATCAGACCCAGAAGGGCCTTGGGTAGAGAGAAAATTATTGTAGAACTCCTCAATGCACTGGGATATTTCATCCTGAGATTCACAGACTGTGGAGTCATCATTAATAAGTCTTGTGATTTTGTTCCTTCTTCTTCTGTGGGTGGT